TGTCTTTTTCGTGACCGGTAAGGGGATCGCAACCCTTGGTGTGGTGTCGCCCACACCGCGCTGAGCACATCACCATTCCTATATAGGATCCGAACCCGCGGCAGGAGCGTCGCTGCGCTCCCAGCGCCGCACTCTCCCGAGTGCGCCACGGGTTTGGCCCCTTCCACTCCTAATTTGACAATATTTTTAGCGGCACACATTCATTTCATCTTTCATAAGCATTCAACTTATTTTTATTTATAAAATCTATTCTACTTGAACTTATATGCAATTCGTTTAAATAAAAAATTAAATTATATAATTATAATAACAAGCTTGATATAAACAACTCTATAGCTAACACTTGGCAACACAACTAACACTTGAAAAATACACAATTACCAGTGGGAGCACAAATATGCAGAAATATCACTAGCCACATGCCACAAGCTTCATTCAGCATTTTTACAGACAAAATGGAGAGCACTAGTTTGTTGGTTATGCCAACCTCATTTACCATAATTTTATCCATAACTTTTCAGGGATACATTTTAATTGTTTCTTCTATAAATTTGCGATGTTTAAGCAACCTGAAATTTATTCATTTTCTTTTTCTCGTGAAAATTATAAGGTTATTAAATAGTTAAGTCCATGAATGCAATCCAAAATAAATTTTATTTAAAATTAAAAAGAAATTGTTTTAAAACTGTAATACTAATAGTGAAGTAGCATGTATGTAAGAGAAAAATATAATGGATAAAACAATGAAGTGGAATTCAGAATATTTATATGGTCCAAATGTGCTCCTAGTGCCTGATCATGTCATTTTGGGCAAGATATAATTTCTACTTGTAAAATCTGATAACAAATTGTAGCTTTCAGAGATGTTATTAGGAACGTAAATAAACTCTTTGGAAGACAGATACCATTTAACAATAAGAAACTACTGTTATGGAGAATTATTCCCAAATATAAACATTAGATAAGCGAAGAACTACTAACATGTCAGTAAAGTACTTACTGTTTAAGTGTTTCTGTGAATATATATTGAGTGAAGTCTTTCGTTGAAGGAGCAAAATACAGAGTCTCCTTTATTTTAATACCTTTACTCTCAATGTGATCTGAAGAATTAAACCGTAACACATAAAATGGATGTGCAACAGGTCCAAATATCTCAAATATCTATAAAAAAGAAGAAACATAAACATTTATTCCTTGATTGAGCAAACACTTACAGAACATATCCCAGGATCAGGTCTAGAAACCAAGCACAGAGGTGAAGGTTCAGCTGCTGGAGACACGTGCAGGAGGGCTGTAGATGTCAGTGAGTGGGTCTACCTATATATAAATATTTTACATATATAAACATATTTTATATAAATATATTAAATAAATATATACGTATATAAAGGCCTATATATAAATATATATATATACTTTTTTTACATATTTAACATGTAAAATAATGATTCAAAAAGTTAGCAATATTTTAAAAAATAAGAAACACTAATATTGCTAAAACAAGGTAATTTTGTCTATGTTAGAGCAATAAAATATATTTTTATTTATATTTAAGTCATGTTTATATACTCAAAGTCTTCATATTGTGATTACAAATGTATTTGTTCATTCTAGATTTCTTTTTTAGGAATTTAAAACAACAAGCTTGCTCCTTGCCAAATTCACATCTTTTTGTTGGTACCAACTAGATGAAAATTATGATTTTTTTAAGTTACTGCTCATTAAAGTACAAATAAAAAAAATTACAACTGGTAACTTTTGAGAAATAAGATGCTGTCTGGGTTTGGAATCTTATGACAGAAAACATAAAAGCAACATTCTGCTTCAATAGGTGTTAAATCACTTCTGCTGTTTCCATAGGGTGTTAACATTTCTGTGAAATTAAACCACAACTTTTTCTAATTTAAGAAGTAGTAAAGTCGATTTTAACTTAAACTTACATATTTCTAAAAAAATCCCAAAGATGTTATAAGCCTTTAACTTTTAAGTAAAAGAACTGCTGTTTGCACAGACCCATATTACTTTATTTCTGAAAATATTTTACAAATGATGAAAGGAGACTTCTCATTTTCAAACTCTTCTCAAAATAAATACCCACATTTTAAAAAATGGTTCTGATAACAAACATATATTATAGGAATCAGACCATAACCAATGTCAGCATAGATTTTTCTAGTGTTTTTCCTATAAATAATTTTTTGAGACTATACTGTAGTTTTGTATACTGCCCCTTTTAAAAGCTAAACTTGTATTAAATTATTCTATTTTATAAACATTCTTCATGAGCATAATTTTAATGGCCATATAAATACTCCTTTGCAGATTTGGCACAATTTATTTAACTTATCTTTATGGTAGGACATTTAGGCAGCTTGTAATTTGTTCAGTATAATACATGACACTATGATGAACATCGTTATATGTAAATTTGTGTACTTCAGATTTCCAAAAGATTGATCTGTAACAGGCAGGATTATTGGAGCCAGAAATATATAATTATTAAATTATCCTGATGTAGCTCTCTGCTCCTGACTTTCTTGCAATCTTATACCCTGTGGCAGCACCAAAGAAGACCTTCACCAGATGGGTTCCCTGGACTTTGGACTTCCCCATCTCTGAAACTAGTTTTGAGAAACGATCAGGGCCAGATGACTGGAAGCTGACCATGGGCACCATCCAAGTCAACAGATGCTCTGCAAAGGAGTATAACTACGCACAAGACTTTGCAAAAGAGTTGATTCTACTTCGGAGCAAATCAAAATCTTGCAGCATCTTGAGACAACGATGAAGATGAAAACAGAAACCAGATGAGGGCTTCATGAGACCTTGTGCCTGACTCAAAGACACGGACCCCTCAACAGCTCACATCTCCTTCTCTCCTGCTTTTCACTTCCCATGCTCCATTCCCTCACCTCCCCCCACTTTTAAAAACCTCTCAGTAAATCTAAGTCTTTGGGATGCGAGAGCCTACCATTTCCTTCAGCTAAATACACCTGCTTTTCTAACACCAACATACATACATACATACATACATACATACATACATACATACATACATACATACATACATACATATATACATAAATAATCCTGATGTAAATTACTAAATAGCATTCCAGTTTGAACCAATTTATATTAACTGCATTTAAAGTGCCTGTTTTATCACATCCCCAGTTCTTAATTTTTGATAAGTGTTCTATTCATTTTATGATTTTTAGTATAGCATTCAAGCTTTTATTACTTCTCACAAAAACATAAAACAGCTACCCATCAGGATACCACTGCTCTGAAGGTTACTATTACTTTAAAAACAAGTAGTGACATTAAAAACAATTAAAATGCCAATGTATTCTGGAATAACACTAAACAGCATTAAAATTTAAAGCTATGTTTTTACTTTAAAAGCAAAATGAATAATTTGAGAAAACGGCAAGAAATGTGCTTTGAAAAGGTTTAGATAAGAAGAGCAGACTTCTTCCAATGAGAATTACAAAGGATGGAAGGGATGTACTGCAGCACCATGTTACATATATTATATTAATACATAGTCTTACTTTCACTATGAAAAAGTCTTAAAAACAATTCACAAAATTTTAACTCCTTTGATGAATACAGACAAAGCCAATTCTTAAACTTTGGACAGACATGCATCTGTGGGGAGGGGTCAATAAGGTAGACTAGAAGCGCCCAACATGCAATACTCCCACAGAAGAGGTCCAGAGCAGGAAGTGGATAGCTGGTATCAGGTCAGGACAGATTCTGTCTTGCAGCGAGAAGAGTCTATACAGCTGTGAGCACTTCCCACCAGTAACCTCCAGTTTCTCCTGCCCTAGCTCACCCTCACCACTGCTGAGGTCACCAGCACCACTGTCTGGCTCAGGACAGGGAATCCATCTCACCCTATAGGAGTTCCTCCTGCTGCCTGCAACAGCAATCAGCCCATCTCCATGCATGGCCCATGCCACTGCGCGGTCCCTAGCCCCAGACATCAGAATGCTGCACCACCTGCTGCAGCCTCCAGAGTCCCATCCCATGTGGCTTCCATTGCAGGAGGCTGAAGCTGGTAGGTAGCAGTCCTCAGAGGACTTCCACTTGTGGCTTTCGCCACTAGAGACCATGATAGCCCCAGAAGCCCCGTCCCTTACAGCTTTTGCTGCAAGAGACTACAGCAGCTCTGCAATAAGGCTGGGAGCCCTACCCTTTGTGGCTCCACTCCCCAGGCTTGAGACACTGTGCAGCAATCTCCAGGGCTCCATCCCTTACTGCTTTTGCCGAGAGAGACCTGACTGGCTCTCCAACAGCTCCTGGAGCCCTGCCCCTCACAGCTCTCACCAGGAGAGGCCAGAGCACCCCGCACTAGCCCTGGGAGCAACACCCCTTGAGGCTTTTGCCACAAGATGCTTGAACAAGCTGGACAGCAGGCCCAGGAGCCTGCGCTCAAACTGTCTTCCATTTGAGCCTCCTGGAACCAGCCTCCAGAACTCCTCCCATTGTGGCTTTTGCCCTGGGAGCCTTGAGCCACCAGGCAGCAGCCTCCAGAGCATTGCCCAACATGGCTTCTCCTCAGCCATACCCTCTGTAGTGCTGCATCATACCTGTCAGTGCTCTCTATCTGCTGACTCTACCTGGAACGCCTGAATCTACCTAAAACTTCTGGGACTGACTATAGAGTCTACTTGGAACAAAAACTGAAACATCCCACCCAACAGGCAACATAAAACAAATCTTCAGGGCCGACACCGTGGCTCACTCATGAGAGTGCGGCACTGGGAGCACAGCCGCGTTCCTGCCGCAGGTTCGGATCCTATATAGGGATGGCCGGTGCACTCACTGGCTGAGTGCGGTACGGGCGACACCAAGCCAAGGGTTGCGATCCCCTTACTGGTCACAAAAAACAAAACAAACAAAAAAATAAACAAATCTACAGGTGGGATTCTCTTTTCTCAAAAGCTATTTGAGTAACTAAAGAAGCAACTGCTCCATTGGATGACCAGACATCCATGTAGGGATACTAGAAATATGAAAAAACAAGTAACTGTGACACCCTCAAAGGAATGCAGTGACTCTCAAATACCACATCTCAATCTACAAGAAACCTTTGATATGCGATCTAAGGAAACTACATGAGATACAAGAAGCGTCACAATTAAAAGACAAAACAATTAAACAAGAACAACAATCCAAGACATTAAGGAGGAAATTTACAATGTGATTAATGCCATAAAAAGGATGTGGTAGAACTCTTGGAACTGAAATAAAAACTACATTTGAGAGCTTCATAAGCAGGTTAGAGCAGGCAGAAGAAATAATTTCTGATCTTGAAGACAGTCTTTGAAACAAGCCAAGCAAACAAAAAAAAAAAAAAAAAAAAAAAAAAAAAAAGGAAAAAGATTATTAAAAAATGAAAAATATCTCCAAGAGCTATCAGACAGCCTCAAGTATACAAATGGCAAATCACAGGTGTTCCAGAAGGGGAGGAAAAAGAAAAAGGCATTGAAAACCTATTCAACAAAATAATAGCAGGAAACTTCCCAGGTTTGGCAGAGAAATGGATTTCCAGATTCAAGAAGCTCAAAGATCCCCAAACAGATTCAATCCAAAAAGGTCTAGTTAAACTGGCAAAAGTCAAAGACTAAGAGAAAATTCTAAAAACAGACAGAGAAAAATGTCAAGTCACCTATAGGAGAGTTCCTCATTAGACTAACAGCAGACTTCTCAGTGGAAACCCTAAAGGCCAGGAGAAAATGGAATGATATATTTAAATTACTAAAAGAAAAGTACTGCCAGCCAACAATACTACACCCAGCAAGGCTATCCTTCGGATATGAAAGACACATAGTGTATTTTCCAGATAAACAAAACCTATGTGAATTCAGTGCCACACAACCAGCCTCTATAAGAAACCCTCAAAGGAGTAAAAAACATTACCACCATGAATACATAATGAAGAACAAATCCCACTGATAGAGCACACAGGCAAAAGAGGTAGAGAAAAAAAACTATACCATACTACCTCAAAAACCAACTAACTCTAAAGTTAAACAACAAAAGGGAAAAAAAGGAAAAAAGACAGGTAAAACAACCACACGAAAGCAATTAAATAACAGGAGTTAAACAATACCTTTCAATAGCAATGCTAAATGTTAATGGATTGAAGTCCC